TTTTAGGCAAAAATGGAGCTCAAACAGGCAATTTAAGCCCATGTTTGGCACTCATTCTCATTTTTTTTTTCTGTTTTTTCATTTCAACCACACATTCTTCCAATAAAATAATATTACACACAAATTTATAATTTTTCATAACTTTTTTACCACACATTCTCGCATCAATCACTATTCCAAAAATTCTATTTTCCAAAAAATGAGTTTCAAACTTAACATATTTTTCTTATGGAAGATATATACCTATATCTATATCTAGTAAAAGAGAAATGTTCGTATTTTATCACCAGGTCAAACAAGGAGGTGTTTTCTCCACTTTGTTCCCGTATTTATGGCTTTACAATCAAAGAGAATATCAGTACATTTAGGCCCCGTTTGATAGCACACATTTTCCATTTTTCAACTTTCCAAACTTTCCACCTTTTTGAGGAAAATAAANAGCACACATTTTCCAACTTTTGTAGTGTTTGATAAGCAAAATTTTTCGGGGAAAATACTTTCCACATTTTTGAGGAAAATAAATTCTTGATGTTTTGGTGGGTAAATATTTTCCAAGTTTTTTTTTTTTTGGCAATTGAAAATTTTTTTAGGTATAATAGTAATTTTTTTTTTCACTTTTATTGACAATTTTCATGCAAAACAAAGTCAAATGAATCGTATTTGGTATGGTTATTTTTTTTTCAATTTATTTATTTATTTATATTTTTTTTTTGCAATTGGAACAAATTCTAGACCCAATGGTAGAAAATATTATGACTTTAATGGACATTTTCCATTAAAAAAATGAAGTCAAATTGACACCAAACTTTCAATATTTTCCATAAAAAATTATACCAATCAAACACAATTCATTACAATTCATAGTAAAACAATTTTTAGGTAAATCAATTCTATGTAAAACATTTTCTTTCTACACATTTTCCACATTTGCAATTTAGTTTAATTTCCATGAAAAATGTTGCATTCGAGGAATTCAATTTCTATTTTGACTGTTTGATACGAAAGTGGAAATGAAATTCGAATTCCAATGTACAATAACTTGAAATTTGTTTTTTGTCAATTTCATGAAAAATGCATTCCTATTGGATACTTAGTTTTTATTTTCCAATTTACATGGAATTGAAAAATCTTTCCAACTTTGTCAATCAAACGGACAATTATACATTAAATGGAAAATTGAAACCTAAACCAAATGGGAATAGGAGAAATAGAGATGATTCTCACGAATGATAACAAAAAAAACTAATCCCAAGTAATCAAACACTAACCCATTTCACATATTCCTATAATTGAACACTGATGAGTGATATGCAAATGATTCAAGCCATGCACAAACGCAAAGATACAGAGAGATATATGTTGTTGGAGATATTACACCGATA